CAAGACCAAGAGCGAGAGAAAAAAGAAGATCAAGACCTCCGAGAGCAACAGCAAATTGTACTTAAAGAAGCCCCGGAACAGGTATGTATCCATTTCAAGATCAGAGAGAACAATATTTGGCGAAATGTGCAATCTATATGGGTAGATCCTTCTGATCCATCAGAAGTGATGCGGGTGGCGAAGAAGAATATACGAAAAGGACTGCGGATTTTCGACACCAACATGCATCTTTTGACGTCGGACAATTGTTTCGAGGCAGTGACTACGGATGGAACAAACATAATTGTCTTAGTGCCTCAGAGAGAGCTAGATATCGATGAACAAGTACTAGATTCCGCTAGCGTGCTTGCCATGGCGGACGAGGAAAGTTCCAAGAGGCAAGCCAGATAAAAACAATCTTTTTGACCTAGGCCAGACTTACGTCAAGGAGAGCATCACGAGGAGAACTGGATGGCAGGGACACGATTGGTCCTGTAGCAATCGTCCTTGGACGTAATCTCTCCTCAAGATATCGTCTCGGTATCAGGCGTTCTTAAGGAGTGGAGCGGGCCGAGGAGAGTATTCCTATTCTTAATTGGCGACAAGGAGAGGATCTATCCAGAGCCCAGATATGTACGAGGAGCAAACTCCTGGGCTCGGAGCGAGCAGAGGCCGGTGTCGCTACCAATACCAAATCTCCAGGAGTCAATCCTGCCAAGTAGTAGCCTTTGAGGATAAATTTGCTCCTTACATGCTCAAGGTCCTAATCAAACTTTACCAGGTATTGTAGAGTCACGTGATCAGGTCTTTCACTCAGTTGGCGCCTTCAGGCGACCTTCCCAAAAAGGATCACAGCCAGACCATCAAGGGAGCTAACTTTTATCTCAAGTCTGATTTTGTTGCTTTTGCTGCTGTAACATCACTATAAAACCGGTCCGATTATTGTCTAGACCATGGCATCCTGTCGCCGTACTCTCGTGCTTATTGCAGTCTCCTCTTTCCTACCCAACAACGTCAAGGCACAATTGGGCCGTTACTAGAACAAAGTCGACTGAGGTACCTAAAATGAAAATCCATCTCGAATATCGCTACGCGGTTAAGGGCAACAGAGGTCCAGGACGTCGATTCAATGGCGATAATCGTCAAGAAATCGCCGAAATCCGGCAGAAGAAACAGGAATACGAATCCAGGAGGCAGGAGAGAGCACACTACCGGCAAGAAGGTCACATAGACGAATATCAAATGCAACTATACGAAGCCGAAGCCCTCCTCGATTTACAGAGCAAACAGTTGTCCAAACTGGCTGTTGTTCAAAACAAAGAAATTGATTTAGATCCGGAAGAGAAAACTTCCCAACGGAAAGAATGGGACGAGCTCATACAACCGTCAGAAGCTATACTGGAGGATGTACGTCAAGAAATCTTCCCAAATGCTGGTCCAAGATAATGTCGCTTCCTGCTGTACAGGCATAGACCGAGGAGAGACACGGTTCCAGTATTCCACCAAGTCGCTCTCAAAATTGGTGACTCCCTAAGAACTCCGCTTCATGGAGGTCTTCCTCCTTGCGGAAGTGTTCTTCAATTTGTTTGTGAGCTTGTCGGAATTCGAGGACGGCGTCTTTGAGTCGTTTTGTCGAAGCTCGTACCTCTTCAAGCAGCTTGTGCGATATGCTTTGTAGTTTATAATATTTTCTCATTTCTGCTTTCAATTGCCGATTGTACTCCTCCAGAGCTCGAATCTCCATGCTGGCGGGGTCGTCGTTTCGACATGATTGTATCTCCGGAAGATGGTGTCGATTCACTTGTAATTCAGGAAAGCGATAGCACTGACCGTGACGCTTGGCTTCACCGGAGGTATTCTGTGGCGTCGGCAGGTCATATTCGATCGAAGAAGGAGGCTTTCTCTCTTCCATTCGGACAGTATGCTCGCCAGATGCCGCAGATTGTTGTCGGAGTTTAGGAATCACTTTAGAAAATACTTTCATCCTTCATAGGCGGTGGGTTGGCTGTAGTGCGGTCTCCTCAGGTAACGCAGAACACATTATATTATCATGGTGCGGAGGGGTCACTGTGGAAAGCTCCACTCTCACCATAATGTAATTTATATGATGACATATTCATCCTCTAGAGACAGCCGCATGCAGAAGAAGATCACAAGAAGGTCACTGGAATTGGCCGGAACAGGTTGGACCGAAATATGAATTAGATCCTTGCTACTCCATTGCGGGCACTTGCCTCATTTTGTCTCATGATGTTGTATATATGATACGACAGAATTCAGACCCCAACCTTCTTCGCTTTCTTTGTGCAATTTCTAATTTCCAATCTCTAGATTGCAGTCATCTAGTACAATGTCGGGATCGGAGTCTCGCTTACACATTGATCGTCAAAATGCCAAACGTGAACGAACACGATTCTATCGACGCAAGAAAAGCCTCTTCAAGAGTGGGTACAACCTGCACAAGCAATGTCGTGCTGAAGTCCACATTCTGATCCGGAAGAACGGACGGTCGTATATTTTGAGCTGTGCGGAAGACGGTAAACCACCATTTTCAGACCAAGCCCTAGTACTTGACAATCACCTCATATTCATGATCCTGGAAAGGTATTGACATTGATGCAGAATCAATGTTATCCGGTACCTCAGTGGTCCTTGCCAGAAGACTTTCGAACGCCAGCAACGAAGCCACCTCAAGAATATCCAAATTGTAACAAGGAGGAGTGATGGCTATGGAGGTGGTGTGCCTAGGTCATGACAGCTTAGGTGACCAGTAGAGGACTTGAGCATGCTCCAGGGTGTTTCAGATACAGTCTATGATGAGGCAACATAAAGAGACAGACCTAGACGGCTAACATACACATGGACGCCGAGAGGCTAGGAATAAAGATAGCACACCCTATTGACTAAAAATAGCGACATGACCCACGAACACAAAAATATCTCTGAAGCGCCTCTATATAGAACCAGTTCTATGTCCCGGACCTGAATACACCATCTCGTCATACTTTCAGTTTCTCATCGCTCAACACGCCCGTAAATATTCTTCCTTTGCACAGGATCAAGCCGCCACCGACACCTTGGAACCACGTCCTTCAACTTGGCTCTGCACTCATCGTCTGACCTTTCGATTGTATCGGCCGAAGCACACACTATTTAAATCCCTACGAAGTCAGTCACTAGCTTTCAACATGACATCTGATGGAGGAAGAAATGATAACATTCGCCAATTGCGACCTAGGTGTCATCGTTGCCAAAGGTGTTGTCTTTCGGAGCATTGTCCGTTGTCGGAATCTGACAGAGTTGCCTCGCCTGGTGTGTCGAGATATACCCTCCGAAAGAAGCCTGTTGTACGTCTTTACTTTCATAGCAAGGCTGATACGTGCGCGAATGCTGCGGTTCCTGCCAGAGACGACGGCCGTCGCGAACCGAGATCCACCACGCACGTGGATTCGAGGGGGAAAAAAGAGCGACGAGTTACACGCGCCCAGAAGAGGGAGCTTGGAGTAATCCAAGAGTGAGAAATATGCTCAGAATCGGGGAATTACAGTATGCGGTTCACAAATAGGACATGGAGGTAGTATTGCATGGTTGGAAATACATGGAGAGTGGCTTTTATAGTGTTCAATTCTTGTTCTTGTACTGTACAACACTGAAAAACTCCGTGACAGCTCATCGGCGTCGCAAATTCCATCGAGAAGAGCTACCCAGATGCGATTGATCTATCACATGGAGCTGATACTTGTAAATTAGCAAAGATCCCAGCATTCCCACGAGAAATATGGTGTTGATGGTCATGGCAACGACCGCCGTTGGTGACCAAAACCCATTTTGTGCGGAGTAGACATTGATGAGCGTGTTTAATGAGCCAAGGAACGAGCTGGCTGTCTCTGGCCTAGAGTGCTCATGATTAGCCGTCTCAGGAGTATGCTGCAGTGTACTGCATTCGGGCCTGCCACTCACAAGAACATATTTCGAATGAGCCAAACCGGATTAGAACTCCATGTCCACCATAGATAGCCCAGCCCGGCAGTCCCAACAATGCAGCATATTGCGGCCAGCCAGAGTAGTGGAACATTTTTCACCACCTCAATCGCTCTTCGGCCGCTCCCGTCATCGAGGTGCTTCTCAAGAGAGGTGAACGTGCCTGGGAGAAACAGGTAACTGGTGTGAATCAGCCAAGATGATAGGAAAGCAAGGGCATTATAGCGCTGTGGAATGGCGTCCGCCTCAATGACCATTGCATCGCGGGCGGACATGTTCTGATGTTGGCCCTAATCAAGTCCGTCAAACACATACCTTCTATGCCGGGGTTAAGTACTACGGTAAATACAGCTGTGGGGCGACTTCTTGAGCGCTCGTTGTCTGGGAACAGTCCCATGATCTGTACGATTGTCTTGGCTCACTTCGGCGGAAACAGTGTGGTGCCAAGTGTGGTCTATATAATCCGGTGTTGGTTGGCTTCTCGCACCGTCAGGCTGTGAAGGACACGAGAGCATTGCCGACCTTTGACGACCCTTTTTGTCATCAACCTTAGGATCAGAAAACTACTGTGCAGGAGTCCTTCTATTGTATACAAAGATGAGTTCTACAACAGGAACTGTCACGGAACTTTACAGTCCGAGTCCATTGAAAGTCGCACCCAACGTGGACGCATTACTTCATCAAGTGGACCAGCTTCAGAACTCGGTGGACTCAGACGTTGTCGAGAGCTTGTTGGAGGAAAATGCCTGGTTGGAACACAGCATCAACCGCGGGAAAGAAAAGTGGCAGTCGATCACTAAATTACTGCGAGAAGCATTCGAAGCATATGTCGTTTTGAATGCTTGTATTGAACAGCTGGAGGATGAAACTACAGAACTGGACAAAAAGTGGGCTCACGACCTTCAAAATCGACTCTCAGGGACATCTGCGCCTGAATTCCCTCGTGTGCATCAGAGGGCATCTATGTATAGTCCCATCGCCAAGGATTTTCTCGACGATTGATCTTCGCCGGCGGATGTGTAAAGCGACCGGTCTGGAAAATTTCCGCCGGACTAAGAATAGCCCTCTTGTATCTATTGATATCTCGCAAATTCTATTCTTGGATTGCGGAGTATAATATATCGCTATAAAGTCAGAACCTATTTCCAGATGTTATTCCTTTCAACTATTTCTCTTCATCAGCGACCTTCGCACATTACAGTACATAATAAACATGAAGCTTTGCAACCATCATCCGTGGCTCGGGATATGCGAGCAGGGCTATGAGACGTCTCTGATCGAAACAGGTAGATTGGAGATGTTGAGTTCTCGATTTGAACAACCTGATGATGCCTCTCCCAGCCTCATCGTATTTGTAGGTCAACATTCAAAATCTGTCGCACTCGAGAAGCTCTTCGACATTCATCGAACCCGCCTGTTCAAGGGCAAACCTTATACTGGAGATGTTGACCTTCATGTGGTGCCTGAATCGCCCAATTCAAGAAGGCCTGTCTTCATCGCCACTGGTGCAGTCGGTAGCAAGCGGATTCGTCGCACACCGAACCGCCACCGTTGCCAGGATGGAAGCAGATGGCCTCTGCGTACCGTGCCAGGTGGATCAGAGCCTCATCATATGCAACGCACCGAACAAGCAATCTACAGCCGACTTCTTCTACCCTTCACTGATGTTTTCTGTTTCTTTGCCTCCGACCTAGGAGGATTTCGAGGAGTTGCTTCTCAGTTGGCGGGTTGGCTGCGTGACGTGACCGTCCCTATCTCCACACCTTTCATCCGACCTTCCGTGGTCATCGTGACTGACAAAATCCCGCTGACCCAAATGGCAGAAACCGAAGCCCAAAAAGCCCTGCTCTTTTTGTTGAATGAGGAGACCAGCCAAGATCCCTCTCTTTTATTCTCATGCATCGAGGTTGTTGCCGTTCCCCACATTCAGAAATTTCGTTCCCCAGGATCCTTGGAACGCCTGAAGCATCGACTTCTCTTGCGTATCCGAAAAGCCGAGCAATTCAGACGTGAGACCCGTACTTTGTATTCTTTGACCCACTTTGCGGCCTTTTTCAAATCGGCCTGTGAGCACTTCTCCACCTCGGGCTCGGAGCCGTTTGATTTTATCAAAGCCTCTCGGTCTCATAACCCATTGGCGGAAGACCATGCGCTGCACCTGGCGAGCCTCTTGAGGACTTGCAATACCGCCCAAGATTTGACCGACTTTGTGGTGCCTGTCATCGCCTCGAGTCTGATGATGGATAGCTACCCCCCGGACTGCCATGGTAAGTTGTGGGTGTGAGCCCGTGATTACTCATGAGATTGAAGAACAGCGGGTTAACGTGGCACAGTGTTTGACTCTGTCCAAGTCTTTCAGTCGATTTACCGGGACGCTCTCCGTGAAGCACTTGGTGACCGGGTGGTATCCTTCGAGGGCTCGTCGGATATTATCCTGCGTTCGGCCGTCCTCAAGCTCGTCCAGGGTAAGTTGTCGCAATACTGTGATTCACTGGTCTCTGGGACAGAGGTACCCAGTGCGTCTCTACATTTACATACACTCCAACAATTTGTGGACAGATGGAGTCGTATCTGCAGCGAGGCCACTTGCCTATGCTGCATACGGCGAACACCACAGTATCGACTCCCCTGTGGGCACTGTCTCTGCGAGACCTGTATCCAAATCTTCGGGCAAACCCTATCCAGTCGGCCATGGACGTATGTAATCTCGTCATGCTTTCTCTGTAGGCGTGCATGGGATCGAGACATCAGGGTGGCCGTCAAGCCTCCGACCAGTGGAGTGAGCATCCTCAGCATCGACGGAGGCGGAACTCGGGCTATCATCCCACTAACCGTGCTGAGGAGACTTCAGGACCGAATTGGCCTCCCGATCCCGATTCAGAAGTTTTTCAAAGTGGTAGGTGCCGTCAGCTCTGGTGAATATGTCTGACCCTCGGGGAGGGCAAGGAAAGCTGACAATGTCACAGGAAGTTTTGTCGCATTGAACATGTGGAACCGTGGTGACTCAGTCGACAAATCTATCCAGATGATGTTGCAATTGGCGGAGGCGGCATTTGAACAAGATAAAACCAGCAAAATTCCTCTGGTCTCTTGGCTCACTAAAATGGTGAAGTGGTATGTTCGAGATGGCCGCTATCGTCCAGACAATCTCGAATCGATTCTGCAGTCTCTTCTGGGGAGGTCAACGACGATGCAGGACTGCTCCTACGCCACGGGACTAGGCGCCAAACTTCTGGTGTTAGCCGCCACCGTTTTGAAGAC